TGGTGACTAACTTTGGTTGTCTTTCTTAATTTGTTTGTCCAAGAGATGTAAAAACTCATTAATGATTTATAAGATATGTTTGTGAATGAAAAAGCAGTGCGTGTAGGGATGGCTACATGGCACTAACGTATGACAGTAACGTGACATTGGTCGTAGGAGAACGTCCTGTGGTAAGTGGCTGGTTAGATGGACCCAAATCTCAGTAGATCTCGTCTACTTGGGGCCATTCTTAATGTCTAAATTACGCGTGTTTAGATTAGAACTGAGGTCCGATAGGACTGGGACCCATTTAACTTGAAGTCACAAGCAACTTGGCTGGAGTACCCAGCAGCAGACACCAACTCTCTAAAGTTAAGTCTTTTATCGACTTGGTCTAAACTCCGAGACACTTCTCTAATGCTTCTGAGATTTCGCACTTCAGTGTAATCCACGAGGCGACAGGACCAACACCGTCGACCCTCTCACACTAATTTAGAGTTTTAGACCGACACTACCTGCTGGACCCCCCCCCCTCATCTCCTCAAGCTTTTGTCTTCAATGATGCTTGAGATTTTGGAATATATATATATATATATATATATATATATATATATATATATATATATATATATATATATATATATATATATATATATATATATATATCATTATTACCGTGCTAATAATTCCTCATTAATATCCACATAACATTTGAACAGTAGAATTAATTTACACTCCCGCACTAATGAGCGGAGTCTGCTGTAATTAGGTTTGTTCTCACATGATGTACTGTAGGTCATAATAATGTTCCAGGATTTTATGATATCTAGCTGCGTTAGTCAGCTCCATGAAGGCCTTCCCTTACTGACTGACTCAGTCGTTGAGAGAACTATACCTTTAGTACTGAGTCACCGAGGTCTTACTCTGTCGTGTTCTGCCACCTGTCCATTAATGACAAAAACTGCACAGGTAAATGAGAGGTTTAATTAATGTTATATGTTTAATGAATAATGACAGACAGGTAAATAGAAAGTTGATAAAAGAGGGTGTAGGATGTGGAGAAATGTAGTAAATTTTAATAAACTTTTATACGAGAAAAGGAAAAAAAATGAGATACTTTAGAGATAAGGAGATAATAACAGAGACTAGGATGGATGAATGAAATTATAAACTGGGTCCTCAGAGAGATAGAAAACCTTAGAGGATTGGTTAAAACAGCCTGAGAACGTTTAGAGTGGAGGACTGTGGTCGCCAACCTTCAGATAATGGGATTGTACTTTGATGATTTACGAGTTTGTTAAAAGTGGAAGAGGCAGTGTGACGGTAGTGGAAGGGTAAATTGTGGTGGACAGGTAGAAGAGGAAATAGTGTAGTGTGGAAGGAGATAGTTATGGTGCACAGGTGGAAGGGAAGGTGATGGTGTAGTGAGGGAACGGAAGGTGATGGTGTAGAGATGGAAGGGAAGGTGATGGTGTAGGTGGAAGGGAAGGCGATGGTGTAGAGATGGAAGGGAAGGTGATGGTGTACTGATGGAAGGAAGGTGATGGTGTAGAGATGGAAGGGAAGGTGATGGTGTAGCGATGGAAGGAAGGTGATGGTGCACAGGTGGAAGGGAAGGTGATGGTGCGCAGGTGGAAGGGAAGGTGATGGTGCACAGGTGGAAGGGAAGGTGATGGTGCAGAGATGGAAGGGAAGGTGATGGTGCACAGGTGGAAGGGAAGGTGCACAGGTGGAAGGGAAGGTGATGGTGTGGAGATGGAAGGGAAGGCGATGGTGTAGAGATGGAAGCACAGGTGGAAGGGAAGGTGATGGTGTGGAGATGGAAGGGAAGGCGATGGTGTAGAGATGGAAGAGAGCAACTTTGGCCTGAAGGTTGAGGAGGAGGAGGAGGAGGAGGAGGAAGTCACCGGCGCTAACTGCTGCTGCCTCTTGCGCCACAAATCACTGTGAGTTATGGGTCATTCATCATCCAGCCGCCATAAGGCCACAAGAGACACAACCCTCAAAACTTTTCTATCTTAGGTCATATATCAATACTTATAGCCGAGGGTACCACACCTTTGCCCGGGTCCTGGAGTGGCAGCTTATGGCTTATGTCTGCTCTTGGTCAATCGTAAATACACATGTCGAAAAATTATAAGAAATTTTAGCTCTATGATGAAAACTGAAGCTAAGTACAGGCGGCCTTCCTCTTGTTGGGGGTCGGCATCTGAGGGACGGAACCCCCTCCTCTTTTCCCTTTTCCCCCTCTTTCCCCCCCCACCCCCTTCCTCCCTCTCCCCACCCCTCCACCCCAATTTAGAAGTTTTCAAAGATGATTCTGTTTGTGCAACGTGAGTACAGTACATTACAGAGATTTTGAAGTGTCTAAAAGTGATGTTTCTGGACAAAGTAGCATCGACTTCGGGGGGGGGGAGGGGGAGGGGAACATGGTGCATCCCCTCACACGCACTCTAGCCCCCCACCCGTAACAGTGTAGCCCTCAGCACCCGAGTAGCCCCAAGAAATATAGCCCTCAGCAACAGTGAAGCCTCTAACACTACTATAGGTTCTCAGAGCTTCGGAGTGTGGACCTCTGCTGGACTGTGTGGCTTCAGAAAACAGAGAGGTTGAAGCTTCAGTTGATATACCCGTAATGAAGAGACGATTGAAGCCGATGAGGAGAACGGATCCCAGCCGCTGTAACTATTAGATACATGAAGCTGCTGTAACTATTAGATACATGAAGCTGCTGTAACTATTAGATACATGAAGCTGCTGTAACTGATAGAAAGATATAAGATTGCTGTAACTATTAGATACATGAAGCTGCTGTAACTATTAGATACATGAAGCTGCTGTAACTGTATAGAGGTGTGATGCTGCTCTATGAGATACATGAAGCTGCTGTAACTATAGATACATGTGCTGTGTGTGTGTGGTGGTGTGTTAGCTCCATATATCATGTGTGTGTGTGTGTGTGTGGTATTTTTATTCTCCATATATCACGATAGCGTATAAGTCAAAAGGAATATGTCGATAATAATATTTATATGACACTTATTATATAACATTAAGTGAACCTCATGACAGAAGTGATATGTATCTAATATACTATATGAATAGCCGTGGCTGTCTGTCTGTCTGTCTGTCTGTCTGTCTGTCTGTTCTGGGCAGCCGAAACGGCACAATCGTTTTCATCAACCTTGGTGGAAAAATCGCAAAAAATTCGTAGAGTGGAACAAACCTGGTCCCATGTCGATGGTTTCTTTAGGAAGGCATTAATTAACCATTTTATTTACGATGGAAAACGATGCAAGTCTACCCTCATTCGCTGTATGCTAGCCAAGCACGAGCGTTCAAACTTTCACCGGGCACGAAGGGCCCGCGATCACTTGTTACCATCTATTAAAAACATTACTGAAGCGGCTGTGAGTAATAAATATATATAGACGGTGTAGCTGTTAATAAGCAGAAGTTAACACAGGCGAGCAGTGGTGTCAGCGTCCAGGTGGTGATGGTCCCTGGGTCAAATACAGCCATAGACAACCTGTTATTTTTTTGTTATTCTTTTCGTATGTTATTAACCACATAACAATACCTACAACTCCCTCACTCCTGTATAATATGTGTTGTAATATGTGAGATATATCGGTGTATGTATTGGTTGTGTGAGTGAGAGAGTGACGCGAAGACTTGTGTAAAACATAACAAGAAACAACTGCCTTCACCCGTGTCTTGGTGTGTCAATGTCTTCCTGGTGTGTGTGTGTGTGTGTGTGTGTGTGTGTGTGTGAAGCGTGATGTGTACGTAGGTGATTGAATGTATGTCTGTAGTCTTCATAATTCTGTGCCACATTACTTGTTATTCCTCACAGAGTGATAATAAATGATAAAAGACTCGACGTTACACTGAACATTTACCAACATATTTACACACAAGAGTTTCTCGTTATTTTGTCCACGTCTTCCTAGTTAAAGAATATCATCACTGTTTTATTCTGAACTTTTGTGTCGTCACCGTGCACTACATAAACAATCCTGGGTGGTCGTTATGGTTACGCTTATACCACGGCGTGGGTCTTGGCGGTGTCCTTGCAGCTGAGGTCAGGTTCACTCCACCAAACTTTCACTACCATCTCTGTCTATTATTAGCATGACTAAAAAAAAACAGTCATGCCTAAATCGTCAGCGGGTGTTTTCCGAATCTTCTAAAATTATTCATTAGTTTTATTTATTAGAATGCCGTAATAATGCATACTTGAGTCTTTGTGATACTGCAGGTCTGTGTGTGTTGACATACAAAATAACAGCTGATGCAACAATATGTTTCTCCTTCAGTCTTTATCTTGTTGATCAGCATCTCTGCACTACGAAGCTACGGAGTTACCCACCTCCGCGGGCTGTAGTGTTCGTTGCGTGACGAAAACTTCGATTTGTCGAATATTTACGCTGTCTTTCAGTTTAAGTATTAGTACTATAGACGCTACGAGTCGCGCAAATGGATGCAGTCCTAGCCAAGCCCCATACATCTGTTTGAGACATTTTATGTATGTATTTCAGTAACCACATATATTTTATACTGTGTTGTGTGAAAGAAACTCGTTAATATCAGGCCTAAAACATCTGAGCATTACTTAGATTTTTTTCATTTTGGAATTATCTTCTAACACATCTAGAAGGCCGCTCTATGTTACCTCGTGTGACGTCATCGGCGATCTACACACGTCGGACACATTATTTTACATATATTTTTTATTACATTTGAGAATGGTTTTTCTTTATCTTATTAACATATTAGTTCTTTCCTCTGCCATACTCTAGTAAGTCAATTTACCTTATACATTGTCTTTATTTTATTTGTTGTTGTTGTAGACGCTTTTGTTATCTCTCTGTACATCTCTTACTTCTTTTATTGGTATTCTTTACTTTTGTATAAATCTATTTGTTAATTATTGTATCTTTATTATTATTATTGTACTTCATCGTATCATTATTTTACAATTTGTGAGAGTTTGTATCCTAACAGTGTGTCATCTTCAGCAGGTATTGGTGTTTACGTGTCGAGGGTGGAACAGGGCGGACCAGCGTGGAGGGCGGGGCTCAGACCAGGTGACCTCATCCTTGCCGCCAACCAGACCAACTTTTCCACCGTCACCCACTCCGAGGCCATCGCGGTAAGTATTCCTGGGCACTGATTGGCTGCTTATGCGTCATCCTGGTCGCTCATTGGTTATTTCTGCTGGTAGGGGCTTGTTGAGTAATCTCTTGGCCGTTGATTGGCTATTTTTGTTTTTTCTGCTGGGCATCTCAGAGGCTGTTACTGGTCACTGATTTGCCATTTTTACCGCTGGATATTTCGGTGAATATATTTTTGTGCCGTTGATTGTCTGTTTTCCCTCTTGGACATTCCGTTGAATATATGTAGGCACCTCATTGGCTAATTCTAACCGTAGGATATTATGGGGATTGAAGTAGGACCCTGATTGGCTTGTTCTTCTGCCAGGCTATCTTGGTGAGTAATGCAAACCGCTGATTGGCTGCTGAGGTCGGAGGAGCGTAAGGGTAAGTAATCCTTGGCCGTGATTGGTCATTTGTTCTACTAGGTATTTGGTAGTCATCTTTACAGGCCGCTTCTAGGCTATTCAAATTTTCCCCACAGATAACAAAATTTTAGTTTGTGGCTTGTGTCTGGGGAGTGGTGGTTGGCTGCTGCCTCTGCTTGTGTAGTGCCATGTTCTTCCCGTACTCGTATTTTTGCTGTTATTGGTACATTTTTCCCAACACTGATGTTTATATTTTTTTCCACTTTTTTTTTTATTGGACACTCACTTGGTGTTATATCATCTACTATGTCCTTTTAACCATTATGTGCCTATGAAGAATCTTTTTATATATATATTCGTGTACTGAGGATGTGTTGGTGGCATGTTTAGACTGTGCAGGTGATGTAATGTACTGTTTGCATAGTTTGCGTATATACTCTAGCACTTTAATTCACTAGTGGTAAGTATAGCCTTTTATTAGCAACGTGTTCAGAAAGGTAAATTGAATTTTGTCACTCTCCACGAACGGATTTTACTAAGAAAATCTCGTATCGATGCACAAACACATATATACACTGATGAACCTGTTATAGTGTGTAATGCATGTGGTGTTGATCTTGTGTATTGTGACGAAGCACCAAGTGTAAAACTATCGCACCATAATTTTCTCAGATGTCACTATATCCGTGTTAGGTTCTTGGTATAATTGTTTGCCGTCGTGTTTACATCCTCAGCTGTGATCCCATGACTGTTGTTTATAGATGATGCTATTTGTGTTTCTGTTTCAGGTGACCAAAGCAACTAGATTATTTTGATGTGTATAGATTCCTCCATTGACTCTGAATTTGACATTGACACTAAATTAGACTTTGATTTTGACATTCACTTCATATGTCCACCTCTGTTATAGTCGTATCTTTTGGGTGTTTTTTTTTTATATGGGAAACTATCAATATCTTGTTCTTGTTTTAAGTTGATTCATAGACAACACCTTATTTTTATCATATTACGAAGTGAAAAATACAAAGGTTATTTCAGTGTTCATTTTATCCACAATAGAGAGACAATGGGTGAAATAAAGTTAAAGAACGACAACTTTTCCTCTTAATCATTACCAACATAAGTGTGAGGTAATAATGGAAGCACCTTTAAACGTGATATGTGAGAAAGATTATAATATTACGACCGTCAGCTCCACCATATAGCAGAAGGTCTCATAGAACTAATTTTATCGTGGATTATCTCGCTACGTTACCTCTGAATTGACGGAGAAAATGATTTTTATTAATCAAGTCACACCACCCCATTCCTTCCCCTCCCCTCTCTTCTCTTCCCCTTCCCTAGCTACGTATTCATTCTCCCAGATTCGCCACTCCTCGATATTTCATGATATTATTCCTTAGATGCTGAGTGCTCCCCCCGCCCCTCTCCCCCCTCAATCCAGGATATTAGTAGACGTGTGACAGTAGATGGCTTGGACTATAGAGGATAGAACAGCCAATATATGGGACACATTAAGGAGAACAAAGTGATCGTTTTGAGGGATATTGAGCGAGTTGATGGTAGATGTATCACCCAGAGTGTTATACAATTCTCAAAGGTTAGTACGATGGATAGCCTTTGTGAGTGATGGTGTAAGAGTGTACTTAATTGTTTGACTTAAGGTAAAAAAAACGCAAGATTAATAGTCAACAAAAAATCGTGGGAATTATTTTGATTAAGCATCGGGTAGGAGAGACCACCAACCTTGCGACGGTATTGCTGGGTGTAGCGGTGTTGGTTGAGTCACCCCTACGACCAGGCTGCCGGGTTGGTCACGTTTTCTCTGGTGCGATAGAGTGAAATTCTCTTTTTCTTCCGTTAGTTTCTTCATGAGTTAGTTTTCTTTGGTTGTGCTGGATACACTAAAGGATTTTCCAGGGGTTCTCAATGTCCTCATAACTTTTTATTCTTTTTGTGCATTAGTCTCTCCCTACCCATCTACCCCGAACAAAAGTGGAAGAGGAGGAGAGGTGATCGATAATACATGGTTACCTCCCAGTATACAATTATATAGATATATATTTTTCTTTTATAAAACTGTTGACGTTCTCTGTATTGACACATCAGGGGGACATATCAGGGTGGTCTTGTCTATAGCCACTTCCATGACAAACAGTTTTGATACATTTTAGTGCAGTATACGTAATAGTGGTGTCCGATATATTAAAAAAAAAGCAATCGTTAGCGTACACCGTATGGGAATGTTAATACGAATATCAGTAGGGTATACACTATTTATTCTTTAAAAATGTCATACAAGATACATAGACACTACAGGTATATAAACAATATAAAACTTACGTCTAATCATAGTATATTTCCATTGAGGATCTTTGCTCTGGCTGGCGGACTAACTACTAGGTATCGTACATTATTAATTATATAGCTCCCTGTACGGTCTATGCTCACTGTATACCTACATTGTCTAAATACATGCTGAATAAATCCTCTCTCTCTCTCTCTCTCTCTCTCTCTCTCTCTCTCTCTCTCTCTAGTAATAATTAATGACTACAGTTTTCCACATTTTTACCACATTTCTATACCCTCAATAATGAACCCTGTGGTGCAATAGTCACATTCCCCGTAATTGTGGTTTCCCTTCATACCATTAAGGGACATAATACTAAGTTCCAATTTCCGAAAGACATTATGTATTACGTTATACATGACAGATATTATCCTGTAAATAAGTGTAGCTTCTGTTTAACAGTTTAGGAGAAGCCATTGGGGAATCTCGTGGTGCAGGGCCAAGTGAGGTCAATTTTCCCTGTATACTGTAAACTTAAACAAGATCATATGAAGATTAGGCACCTCCAGTTTTCTTCATCTGAGGATTAAGCACCCTAACGCTACCTGGGGGTTAAGTTAGATTAGGTTAGGTTAGGTTGGTGTTAAGATGGTTAATGGTTAATCTTCAGGTGAAATAAGCCGTGGATGTGGGTAGGGTTAATCTTCATCCCATTCTTAACCCCATTCACTTTCCCCTGGTGGTGGAAGTGTTAGTTTGGTGGTACTCTACACTGTGTACATTATGTATATAAACACCGCAGTATTTACACTTTAATTATTTGACTTGATTTCCAAAGAGGAATTAAAACACTAATGGGGAAACACGTGGCTGTCCCTTGTACCAGCGGTGAGTGAGGGTCTCTAGGCGTTTCTGTTGAGTTATGTGACGTTTCGCTTTTGATGGACCTGATGTATTTTTATTTATTTTGTATATCTTTCATTGATTAAGATCCATGTAGGTGCTCAAGGATGTCGAGGGGCAAATAGAATCTAATCCTATATGACCTCGACTTAAAGTATTTGGACTGAGACCCATTAGGACAGAGTCGTTTCACCAGTCACCAACAGGGAATTAGAGGACGCAGTCACCTTTAAGTCGCTTCCTTTCACGACCAGAGTGACAGACACCAAGTTCACATGTTCGCTGGTCATTGTTGTGGCGCATCGGAAAAAAACAAAAATCAACGAGGGAGGGAAGAAGGGGGGGGGAGGGTGTGATCAATACAAGACAGATGATCCTCAAGTACATTGAAGTAATCATTAAATTATATAAAAGTTTAAGTTTATAGATTTGTTCACTACTGTTGGAGAATTTCATCTTGTGTTGGAAGGAGACACGCGGCTGCCACAAGGGGTAAGCAAGAGTCGTTCGTAACAGAAAATAAGAAAACTTTTGTAAGAATGAAATGTATTATTTAGTTGAACATTTGAAGGAGTTTTGTATTTGCCAACTTTTTACATCATGAGTCAACAAAATCTTCAACGTTCAAATATATAGGGTTTCTATTGTGTTAATATGTTGAAGATGTGAATTACACGAAAGCGCTTGGGAACTTCGTGTTTTCTTCTTTCCTTGTGGTTATCAGCATATATATAAATCTTAATCTTCAGAAAAGCTTGGGTACGATGACTATGAGCGTTTTGTGTGTGTGTGAGTGAAAATCTTTTACATGTTGCTTGGCCACCAGTATGTTTACATGGAACTGTTATGTTTTTTGTGTGGGTGTGACAGCAGAGCGAGAAGTCAGCATTGTGGCCACCCACAGGCAGACTTACACCTGAATAGTTGGATGAGCCAACCAGTGTTTTTATTTCCACTCCACATGAAGCTTGGCTAGATGAAGCAGTTTGTGAAGAAATTGGTTAACGATGGTGACTGTTTTAATACTCCCAGTTCTCACTGATGAGGAAGTTAAAAACGATGTCTCTGTGGGACCTCAGATCAGAAAGTTAACATTGGATGATTAGTCTGGCGGAACGATGAACCAAGCTGAAAAAGAACCTTAGTTTGGCTTCAGAAATGTTATTCAGAGTTACTTGGGGAAAAAAATTATCCAAATTTCAAAAGGTTGTTGAAAACTTGCCGAATAAATTTAAAAAGTTGGGCTGCAACGTGAGCTTAAAGGTTCACATCTTGCAATCCCATTTTGAGAACTTTCCCGAAAATCTTGGTAGTGTGTGTGAGCGAAGAACAAGGAGAAAGATTTAACCAGGACATGAAGACAATGGGGAAGATATACCAAGGGAAGAGGAATGTCAACATGTCTCTGCTCACCGAAGAGAGAAACTCCGGTGAAATGCACGACAAAAAAGTAACAAAAAGAGAAGATTTAGTCGCATATAATTAAGAAGAGTGTTTTACTGAATACTTGTACCAGATTTATTATTTCATTCAACATAGATTATTTGGAATAGACAATTGGCCAGCGTCTGAATCGTTTAAACTCCAAATACTTTATTATACTTACTGTTACCAAGCACCAAGGAATGCTCTTTTACGTTTAAATTTGTGGAAAATCATGACGTGATGGAAAAAAGTGGATGTGAATTCTGTAATCACTATAGCAGAATTATATAGAGTGATATATTGAAGTAAAAAAACAGGATTTTTATTTTTGATGTGCATACCAATGTAACGAGAGAGGCGAATTGATTACCTGTTGTACATATTGGAAGAGGCGGTACAATGTATTATTATTATTATTATTATTATTATTATTATTATTATTATTATTATTATTATTATTATTATTATTCGAATCACAAGGACTTACTAATGAGACAAACAACATAGACCAAATTGTACCTTATACACCCACACGTATCTGCTAAACGAAATCGACCTTAACTAAGTTGTTGCTGAACTAGATGTACTCAAGAGAGGTGACAACTTACGTCAAGAAGTACCATTTTAAAATTATGACCTACGATTTGACCTTTTGACCTTCCAGACCCTAGAAGCTGTAAGAGTTGACCTGACTCATGGTGAATATGTATATGTATTACGTATGAACACTGGACCTTTATCTGAGTTACACTGTGTATGTATTTATGTAATTAAGAACACTCCGTTACATAGATGCAGCCAGCAGTTTTCCCTCACACCCCAACACTACCATAACCCAAGGACACCTTTAACTTATTTGCATGTTATGAGATTAGAAAGATAAGATAATTAAATTGCGATTTTATTCACTTGCTTGCACCCTAAAAAAATTATATATAGTCGAATATTAAATGGCGGCCTGGGAGAGGATTTTAGTTTGCTATTGACTTTGAAACATTTGCATAAAGTGAGAATAGTGTCCTGGGTGTAGAGAGACCGGCTGGGAGTTATAGGGGGGAGTGAATGGAATTGAAATGGAAATTACATTACGCAGAAATTTACATAGAATTTAATTTTTTTCTAGTAATATAGAGAAGCAGGAGATGAAACAGCATGAGTCTCTTGGATATAATATTTTTAGGGATAGATTAATGTTTAGGTTTTGTGTTTGGTTATTGTTCGCTTTAATTTCCTTGAGGTGATTTTAGGAACCTTTTTTTAGGACCGAGTTAATTATATTCAGGGCTATTATTCTTGGTTGTTCAATTCTAATGGGATTTATGCTCAAAGCAACTCAGAGTTAAGGCTATCTAGCAACACTCAGAGCTTCTCATTGCTGACCAGGGCTACTCAGGGCTACTCAGGGCTATTCTCGAGTCGTGTTGGATCATTCGTCATAACACCCGGAGTGGATTGAGTGATGAATACATTAATCAAGTTTAAACACTGTAAATCTTCCTGTTCTTGAGTTATGGCTCTAACTTATATAGTGAATAAATACATGTATACAACACTGACCTAAACGACCTGACACGACCTCACATGACCTCACAGCGACCTCGCAATAACAGCGAGTGAACAGCAGCTATGAGACCCGTGGTGATGAAACGATACTTACGACTCATATCTGGAAAGTCTAATTAACTGAAGTTCTTACCTGTGTGACACCCTCCTCCTCCTCCTCCTCCTCCTCCTCCTCCTCCTCTCTAAAACATCTTCATTGAGGAGGTCAACTAATGAGAAGTCACACGGTGGTTGAGAGAGAGAGAGAGAGAGAGAGAGAGCGAGCCTTTAACGTGGTTCATTTCCTCTTGGTAATAATTAATTAATTGACTTCTGAGAACTTTTCCCTTCATTTTTCTTTCCTTCCTCCTCGTCCTCCTCCCTTCTCTTCTCTTTCATCCCATTCCCTTCCCTTCCATACCTTCCCTTCCCTTCCCTACCTATCCCATCCCTTTATTCTTCATTCTTTCCTCTCCCCATTTATTTCTCCTCCCCCTCCCCTCTCCTTCTCGCCCATCCTCTACTCTTGCCCTTCCCCTTTCACCCTTCCCTTTCTCACCCTTCCCCTTTCTTCACCCTTCCCCTTTCCCACCCTTCCCCTTTCCCACCCTTCCCCTTTCCCACCCTTCCCTTTAAAATTTCCTGTTAATCCTAGATCGAATTAAATGCCATGAAAACATACCGTGATATAGACAGGCAGGTAGACAGATAGACAGACCGACATACAGGCAGACACACAGACAGACAGACAGACAGGCCGACAGACAGACAGATAAACAGACAGGAATACAGAGACGGATAGAAATAGGATAAATAAACTAATAAAATACACATATAATAAATTAACAGTTTGAGAAGAAGGAATAAGGGAAAAGAATAGGAGAGAATAGAAGGGGAATGAGGAAGAGGAGATAAATATGTAAAAGGGATGGGAAGGAGAGAAAAAGGATTTACGATGGAAGGGAGACAAAGAGAAGAGTAAACAAGAATGGAGGAGAGGAGGCGAGGAGAGGGAAATAAGGTAAGAGGAAAAAAGGCGGTAAAGTAAGGGAAGAGGAATAAAAAGATGGAAAGGAAGGAAGGAATGGTAAGAAAAGATAAGAGAGAGAAAAGAAGAGTCAAAAGTGTTGAGAGAGACCAGGATGTCCTATAGTTGGTGTGTCTTACAACCATATTGATTTGTGAGGTAATGAAGGGGAAACCTTTTACTCTTTTGTGTGTGTGTGTGTGTGTGTGTGTGTGTGTGTGTCTGTGTCTTCCTCCGACATACTTTTTCAATCAGCATTTCTAGTCCTTCATCTTGCTATGGTTATCCTATAGGACACCAAGTCACAGGGGGTGGTCTGTTAATTAGGCACCACATCCTGTTAGACCTCATCCTAACTTGTCCATACCATTAGATTGAAACCTTATTAGACTAGCTGCCCAATTCTTAACTATAGGGCCTAATAGAACCTGGATTACACTACGGCTGGGGCCTATTTAATTAATTATATCAATGCTACAGGAAAAAATTGTGTGTTCTTTGAGATAATTTCATACAAGTCACGTGTACATATAAGTCACGTGTGTGTATTTTTAACAAGATCCTTCATACCTGGAAAAATAATAAGATCTTGTACACCTGAAGATGGTTGACAGGTGAGTCTTAACAAGGTCGTGTGTTGTTACAGGTGCTTGTGTCGAGAGCAAACATTGGAATCACAGACAAGTTGCACTATAAATTCGCCTTTGTGTACACCTCAGTCTCAAAACTAATTAAACTTTGACTCTGCTTCCAAGGTAATCCGCCGCAGACACTAACAGCGCGCGCGACACTTAAGGAACTACCTGGGTTATCTTAATTAAACATCCCTCCCCCCTCCCTCCCCTAACACACCTGGGGTCTTACCGGTGGGTTGGTACAGTAATGAACGGCCACCAGGGATTACACTCTATTGGGATGATCCTCCTTCTCTTCTTCCTATTCCTGCTCCTCTTCTTCATGTTCTAATTCCTCCTCGTTCTTTTCCTATTTCTCTTCCTATTCCTCTTCTTTTTCCTCTTCCACCTCCTCTTCTATTCCTCCTCCTCCTTCGATTCCTCTACGTCAACTTCCCCCGCCTTCATTTTTCGCGTTTGCCATATCAATTCACGCCCCCACTCACGTGTGTGTGTGTGTGTGTGTGTGTGTGTGCCACTGGACAAAGACACACCTGGACACTATTCCTCCCTCTCCTGGACTGACCTACACCAAGACTAAGTTACGTGAGCACAAAACCTTCATCCTGGTAATTACACGAAAACTGCGGGACAAAACTCACAACAGAAGTAAAGTGTATTCATGTAAAGAAAATATTAGGTATGACTTTTTTTTTAGGACACTGTTGTTTATTTTTATTTTTTTTATCATTTTTAATTGTTGATGTTTTATATTATTATTATTATTATTATTATTATTATTATTATTATTATCTAGTTTGACATTAAGTAATTAAAACTCCATCTAAAAATACTGAGGTTGTTGGTGATGATGGTAGTTGTGGTGACGAATGTGGCACTGATGGTGATGGTAGTGGTAAAAAACTCACAACTACACCTGCGCATCATTAACGAACACCTAATGGTTTTGTGTGGCACTCCCTGGCACCCTCACCTGCCTCCTTGAACCTTACGTCTCCTGCCTGTTACAGCTGTTGTGATCGAGGGATGTCACCTCTCTCTCTCTCTCTCTCTCTCTCTCTCTCTCTCTCTCTCTCTCTCTCTCTACCGTGGCTGGACTAAATATTCGTTACCTGGTGAAATACATTGTTTCTTATTTTTTGTGATATGAAATAAATATATTTTTCACGAAATAAATGGGAATAACCTTATAAATGCCTAAAATTGTCAATACATATATCAAACCTGAAGTAGTGTAGAGGTGTCGGATACAAGTATATAATATTATAGGCTACAAAATAAGTAGAACCGGTTCACTGCTTGGTTTTTATCCGGTCACGCTTGTTTTTTTATCCGGCAATGCTTGTTTATTTTCACTGTAGCTACGATGTGAAGCTACAGTAAAGGGTCTCGATGATAATAAGTTTGTGAACGTTTGTTTTACATTATCGATAGTTGGATCAATTTGGATTACTATAGATTGTGGTGGCGGTGTGGTGGTGTGGGTGTACAGTATACTGGGTGGTGTGGGTGTATACTGGGTGGTGTGGGTGTGGCGGGGTGGATGTATTAGCACACTAGTATTATATAAAATTCACCCCAATTTACACACATAAAAATAAACTTACCTGCACTGTATACCTGGTGAACATAGCTTTTATTATTTAATTTTAAGTAAAAGTTTTCCAAGTGCACTCGGACCGGTTAATCCAGTTCAGCCAATAGTGTGTGTGTGTTGTGTGTGGTTAGGTATAAGTCTTTGTTTTAGTTGTCACTTAGCATGTTGAGTGTGTGTGTGTGTGTGTGTGTGTGTACTGCTGTCGCCATCGTTATACTGCACTGCCAAACGTAAGATACAATACAGTAACACATTGCCAGGCGCTTGGTGATCTACACACACACACACACACACGCAGCTGTTATGGCGTGGGCACTAAAACCCAAATTCAAGTGAGCTGTAAAGACGAGGAAGGTACTTACACAGTTATACTCCATGTCTCGTTCAGGAAAGATATACGAGATTTTAATACAAGTACGGGCACTGTTGACGCTGGCACTACCTCATGGCTGTAAATCACGCAGTGCTTAGTAACCCTCTCGCGCGCCCGTCCAATAGTTTCGACAAGACAGCATTCTTCAAGAGTGTACTTACGGGGATAAATAAAAGTGGAGGGTCTTAGCTGGCCATGTAAACACTCTTTTTAGCTGGCCGTGTATACAATATCTTAGTTGGCCATGTATACACTGTCTTAGATGATTATGTATACACTATCTTTGCTCGCCCTAGACACACACTCTTAGCTGGGCATATACACACATTCGCCCAGGTGGAGGTAGACGTCGACCTCCTGAGCTCTGAAGAAAAACAAAAGTTGATCAGGAGAAATGAGAAAATATGGGACAGGAGGTAAACAAGGTGATTGAATACTGTGGCTCATTAGTTGAGTATTGACCTTTGGTTGTTGCTTCTGGCCAGAGAGATACGGGGGTCAGAGGACTCGCTAATCACTGCACC